TTGGTCACTCCAAGATGGAAGGAAATTCTTTCACTTCCAGTGCATACAATCGACACTTCCTAACATCTTAGGACATCTTTTTACTTCATGCATCTCTAGAAGCATGGCCGTGTCCTCGGCATTGGGTGCTCACGGATACTACGGTCCATAAACACGCACAACAGTTTTATTGAACACTTTGATGCACTTGATGATTGTATTTCGGCCATTCTAAGGGTGTCATCCCATGAATCTGCGGGAGAGCCATATGCAAGCGTCTGAAGTTATGCGGTCACCTTCTGAAAAGAGGGAAAACCCAAAAGGCCGGGGCCATTTCTCTGTTGTTGAAAGAAAGGTTTACTGGCGTTCATGTCGTCGGCAATTCGATGAAACGGATGTTCGGTCATGCGGAAGCATCACCAAAACACGTATGACAGGAAAGTACACCACATGCCTCACCCAACCTCCAAATACGAAGGCTCACGTGCTCGATTTGACGGTGCTTTAAAAATTACGATGATCGAGGGTGGAATGATGACTCTACTAGGGTGTCATTTTGGACAAAAATCTGGCGGTTATTAAGGTGATCGAGCCAATACGGTGATGTACTATAGTTGCTCTAAACAAACATAAAGTCATGGCGAGGCGCTCTTAGATTCAAAGATTAACGGCAGACAAACATTCGAAGAATTACTGTAAGGACAAGCATTGGCTGTTCTTCTTGCAGGCTTAAGATTCCGACACAAGATAAGAACAGAGCACGGATACACGATTTGAGATTTTTAAGAACCGTGCTAGCTCAGCCGATGTTTCGTTGTTTTCCCTAAATCTCATTCTCAAATCCCAAGTTCTCCACGCATACATGTACCTGACAAACTACAGATTTCCAGTTTAATTACCACGGTGAGACACACACACACGCGCACACACACACACATGGAGCGCTCACTCTAACTAAAACTCTACCGACCATCTCATCTCATCTTCTTTACAAGTCTCTCTGAACCCCAAGAACCCAAAACAGAAAGAGACAGTACCGTCTGAGCTCCTCTTCTAAGCCTTCCCCGCCATTCCGGCTGCTGCCCTGTCGTTGCTCTTCCTGGTGACCCGGATGTAGAGGAAGATGACGGCCATGACGGCCGCGGCGAACCCGGCGAGGATCACCTCGGCGCCGGCGATGGACCGGTCGTGCCTCCCGCCGGCAGGCCGCGCCACGCCGTCCGGCCCCTCCGCCGGCAACGGCGTCGGCGCGTCCGCGGTGGCGCCCAGCAGCGGCCTGGCCATCGCCATGGCGACCACATCGGCAAGAACCGCCAGAAGTAGCACCAGCCTCGGCTGGGACAAGAAGGCGCACCTCGCCATTGCAGCTCTCACTGACTCTGTGTGTGGGCGGTCCGGAGTTGTGTGAGCTGGAGATGTGAGGAGCAGAGCAGAGCAGAAGAGGGTTAGTGGAGAGTGGGTGCGGGTGAGTGAATATATAGGCCGTGAGCCGAGCTGGAGGCTGGGAGTGAGGCTGGATGCTGAGTTGCTGACCATGGTTGG